CTGCCCCCTGGTGGGGGCGGCCTAAAGACCAGCCGCGCGGAGGAGCGCCTCTCGCGGGCTGGGTCAGCACCCGGGCCGAGTCGACTCGCTGACCCTGCTGCAGGGAAGGCGGTCACGAAGGTGAGAAAAGTCCGTCTGCCGGAACCCCCAGGAGGACCCCTGGTCACCAGCGTGGCGAGGGGGGCGCTGGGGTCTGCAGTGAGATTCTTAAAGGCTGTCGAAGCAGAGTTCCCAGAACCTTATCCAAAAGGGGGGGGCGGGGGGCCTGCGTACACAGCCCCTGTGGCCTCAAAGGACCCAGGCAGAGAGGGTGACGGTGAGCTGCACCAGGAGGGGCCTCGAGAGGAGAAGACACGGAAGTGCCCAGGGGACACAGCCCCCACCCGGCCTGAGTGGCCAGTGGCCGAAGAAGGATTCCCCAGAGAGGTGGTGCCTCAGCCAGATTTTTTAAAAGAATAAAATGCAATGAATAAGTAAACGTAAGCCACGCAAAAGCAAACAAGCAGAACGGGAGAGGGTGTCCCAGCCACAGCCTGGGTGTTGGTCGGTGGTGGTGGCGAGGTCAGGGTCTGAGAAAGCTCAGAGGAGGTCCAGTGACCAGCCACCTGGAGGAAGGAGGCCACACTGGACACGTGGGCAGGGCCCCTGGGCAGGACGCGGCACCCACGCTGGGCAGCCACCCAACGCCAGATCCGCCCACAGCGCAGATGCCGATGGTTTAAACAATGAGTTCCCTAACCCCCAAAATGCTGCCTGGGCCCAGGAGCCGGCCATGCGGGCACCGAGGTGAGACCCATGGCCTTCGGACCCTCCCATCAAGGAGGGAAAGCAGAGAACAGAATCGTGGCTCTCATGGGAGGAACCAAAGAACGAGTGTTGGCAATGCCCACTGAGCCGGCCCTGCAGCCGTGGGGGTTGAGAACCGCTTCCGGGGATCGGTCTGGCAAGGTCAGCCCTGAGGCAGCGGTTCCAGCCCTGAGTGTCGGGCTCACCTGGAAAAGTGTTAGGTTGCTGACCCCACACCAAGTTTCTGACTCACAAGGTCAGGAGTGAGGGCCCAAAACTTACACCTGGAGTAGGTCCCAGGTGTCCCAGGCACTGCCAGCCCAGGAGGACTTTGCCCCAGGGAAGTGAGGACGTGGTCCCACAGAGACGGCGAGGCTGCCTACCCCCAGAGAGGAGGAAACCGGGGTGCTTGGTTGGGGGACAAGGCTGTATCCTGATGGCATTGGGTGGGGATGGGAGGCAGATGCAGGAGTACAGAGAGGGCATCTCCCACAGCCTCCGTGAATAATCACCCAGTTGCCTCCAGCGTCGTCATCCCACCCACAGCAGAGGCCAAAGGGCATGTGGCTCCCCGGTGGCCTGCAACCTTTCTCCTAAACTTTCCATCCTGCCCTGTCCCTGCTCCCCAAACCAAACAGCCCTGAGGACCAACCAGCCAGCCTGCCCCCTAAACCACAGGTGGTAAACACAAGGCCCAAAGGCCAAACCCGGCCCTCCACCTTGTTTTATCCAACCTGGCACCTTGTTTCTACCCCGAAGTGCCGAGCTCACGCTGAACTGTTAAGCAGTAGTCACATGTATACAGCCCTAAAATTACATTCGGTCCTTGGAAGGCAACCGCGAGGCTGATGTGGCCCCCCGTGAAAATGAGTTTGACACCCCTGCCCTGAATGAGAATAAATCTAAAAACCCCCTCGGGGGAGCTGAAGCAAGGCTTGTAATTTCCACAAGGAAATAAAGTTCCAGAAGCAAAGAAACGGAAGCATCCACAAGCACACAGTTCTCGTTTCATCCAGAAGCGAAGTGGAGAGGCCCAGACAGGGGCCAGCACGACCCAGACGGCAGGTGCTACACTTGCACACCGGGTGCTCTCGGCTGAGCTGCGCCCCTGCCCCCCCCACCTCGAACCACGACCTCCTTTGGAAATAGGTCTTTACAGCTCTAAGTGAAAGGGAGCCATTCGTGTAGGCCCTGATCCGAGGGGGCTGCTGGCCCCCCCTTAAGTGTATGCGCATAATTTGGGAGGGGCACACATTCCAATAGACACAGCCTATAGGGGCCAGAACACTCATGTCAAGTTTTATTGGAAACCCCCTCCCAGAAGTCCGTCATTGCAGCCCCTGCGGGGGGTGGTCATGGCAGCAAAGGAAGGGCTGGGCAGGAGGGCAGAAGACACGTGAGCAGTGGCTGCAGGGCAGCCAGGGGGTGGGGAGGGGAGCCTGGGAGGTGGGCCTTGTGGCCCAGGACAGAGGGGCCTGCTGGTGGGCTCAGTCCTCACCACTGACTCAGCTCACGCTCTGCCCTTTCTTGTTGCAAAGGGAAAGCTGAAGTTCCTACAGGAAATTACGTGGCATCTCCCCTGGGAAGTGTCCTGATTTCCACCCCACACCCGGGCAGCTGGGTGCCCCTCGCCGCTCCAGTCACTGATTGGTGAGCGCTCCCCATGGCCTCCGCATCCCTCCACGGTGAGGCAGCTCTGATGTTGCCTCTTCTCACTGGAAGACAGGTTCCTGGGCTTTGTTTACCAGACCCTGCCCGCTGCAGCCCCGAGGACACACCCCAGCCACAGCGTGGGGACGTTGAGGGCTGCCAACTCCGGGGAGCAGGAGTGCCCCAGCAACCCCGGCACAGCCGCACGCAGCCCAGCTCCGGAGCAGCGCGGGACGTGCCTGCAGGTGTCAGGGAAAGCTCCACGCCAGTCCCCAGGGTCAACGGAAACGTTCCAATGCTGCTCGAGGAAGACCCCCAGCCCAGCACCGAGACAATAGGGGGTACGATTGCTTCACAGCGGGCCCCGGGCTTCTGCAGGCGGATCACCTGTTACGGGTGCATTCTCGCTCCTGAAACTGATAAACGGTGCAGCTGAGTGAAGGCCGCCTCAGGGTATTCGGCACAGGTGTGAGCGTGAACTCGCCTCATCCCAGCCCTGCTGACCTTATCCTAGGATTCATCCTCTCCCACCGTGGCATCAGGGTGACGATGGGACCCCCCTCCCCAGGGGACTTCCAGACACCGCAACACAGTTCCGGACTGAAGTTTGCTCCTTGGCTGTAAAGTAAACCGCGACCCTCCCTGGGGGCAGCCCCACAGGTGGAGGCTGTTCCGGAGGCGCCCCTCACATCAGAGACGCCCACAGCGCACACCTGCACCTGCCTGCCTCCCCCCATCGTTGTGGCCACACCTGTGCACTGGTCTTGGTGTCAGTGACAATTTAACCAGTGTGACTGTGCAGCAAGCCTTGTAATAAGCACTGTGCATACATTATGCTGTTGCACCTCACAACAACCAGGTTGCGGTCCGAATGCCTCCTGACTCAGGTGCATAAGTGGTGACTCATTGACCGAGGTCCCAGAGCTACTAAGGGATGACTCGGCCCTCGTACCCAGATCCACCCCTCGCCCAGATCAGCAGAACCTCTGCGCGTTCTGCCTCCCCGGCTCCTCGCCGCTTTAGAGAGCAGCCCGGTGAGTCCAGCCGGGAGGCTGGCCTTTGAACCCCTGGGACATCTCCCACAAACCCACCCTCAAACTTCCTCATTACGATCACATGTGTCGTTCCTGGCAGTGATGAGTATAACTTCAACCTAAAAAAAAGAAAGGAAAACAACACTGGGGTGCCTGTGAGGTTTGGAAACCACATTTTCAAGGGGGTCATTAGCCCAGGGACACGCCGCCCGTAAAAGCACTTCCATGGAGTCCTTCCTTCCTCTGAGGCTGCCGAGTTCACGCCATCTTGGGCATCCAGGGTGCCCACAAGTAAGACACTGCCCCTGTCCCCAGGGCTCCTGGTGGGGACCCTGAGGAAGGACGTGGTCGTCACAGTCCAAGGCAGCCAGTCCTGTGAGCAAGGCGGGGGCATGTGACCGACCAGCGGCTGAGCCCAGGCCCCGGGGGGGACGTCGGGAACCACGTCCTGTCCGTGAGGTCAGAGCTCGCAGTCCCTCCGCGGTGTGTTGCCACGAGGTCAATGGGTCGTATCATTTCCCGCAGAGGACACAGGCTCCTGTGTTCTCTCTCATGAGTTAAAGCGAACTCAAGGCACCTGGCTGTAGTTCCAGGTGCTTTGGCTGAGATCTTTGGCCACCTTGGGAAACTTCTTCATGTGATGAGCCTTAGGGCAAATATACTCACGAGGCCTGTGGGGTCACTGGCGGAGTCCATGCCGTCCCCTCACCGGAGGAGCCAGTCCCTCCATCCCCACATCTCTCGGGGTGCCCCTGCCACTGGCCCGGCGCCGTGGTGAGACTGGGCCAGGGCTGCTGCAAGGAGACTGCAGCTCACGAGGGGAACAAAAACATAAGCGGGCAATTAGGAGACCTCAGCGTGTTTATGAAAATGTGGCCGAAACACCTGCCAGGGGCCAAGGAAAGCTCTGGGCCTCGTCGGGACTCCCTTGGTGGGTTACTCCCCTCAGGGACCGAGTTTACATTTCTCCGGCATCACAGGCCAGGCCCCAGCTGTGCAGGGACTGAGGGCCAGTGGGCAGGAGACAGGTCCCAGCGGGCCCTGACCACCTGGAGGAGCGCCGGCCCGCCTCGGGCCGGCCACGTGATCGACACGGTGTCACTGCATCCTCAAGCACACACCTCCTGGCCCGGTCACGGGTGAGGACACTGATGCCCCCACGTGGTGACTCACGGGGTCCTGCAGCTCACACGGGGCAGAGCTGGGCCTTGCCCAAACAGGGAAGGTTCCAGAGGAAGGTCCTCTGAAGCCCAGAGTTCATCAGTGCTGCACGGAGCAGCCCTGAGGATGCCTCCTCGAGCTCTAGGTTTCCCAGCTCTGCAGGCTGCCTGGGGGCAGCTGCAGCCTATGGCCTGAGATGCAGGGGCCTGGAGGACGCGCCCTCCCGCCAGGAGGCCCACCACCTGCGGCGGCAGCTGTGCTCCCGAGCACAGCCCTCCCCCTGTATTATATAAGGGAACCCTCTGCGCACAGCAGCCGGGCTCAGAACGCACGTGAAGGACTCACCGCGGGCGGGTTCCTGGTGGCGCGATGTGGCTGTGGTCCCTGCTGCTCTGTCTTCCCCTGGCTCTGGCTGCGAGTGGCCCGCCTGAGCCCCAGGCACTGGAAGATATTGGCACGCTCCACTGTGGGCCCCAGAGCCTTCGGCTCACTGCGCACCCTGTCGATCCGGACACGGGGACGCCTCCCACCCTGATAGCGTGGGGTAAGTCTGAGGACGCACCTGCTGAGCCAGCCAGTGGCTCATCACCACGGCCACCTGAAACCACCCTCCAGCGCCCTATCCCCCCAATGCTGACCCCTTGGCCAACTCGGCAGCTTGTCTGCAGACATGTCACTTGTCACCTCACTCCTGAACCGAGCCCCCTCTGGTTCCTCCCTCTCCTTGGTGGTGGCCCTCTGGGGTTGCCCCTCCCCTGCACGGTCACCACGATGACAGACCACCTGTGCTCTCTGCCCGTCCCCCCCACCCCAGATAAGGCCAGCCTGCTCCACAGGCTGCGCAACGACTCTGGCTGTGGCACCCGGGTGACGGAGGGCCCCGGCAGCTCCGTGGTGCTGGAGGCGTCCTACAGCGGCTGCTTCGTCATCAACTGGGTGAGTAAGACCCAGGCTTCGGGAACGCCGAGCCCCGCCCTGTGTCCCCCCACCCCCCAGGCTGACCCGGGTCCCTCTCTCCAGGACTCCCACCACCTCATGCTAGTCGGCGTCAAAGACACAGCAGCTGCTGGGCTCTGGCCGATAGTGAAGACCAGGCTGCTCCAGTGTCCCATGGCTTCCCCAGGTGCGTGCGGGTCACCCCCACCTGCCCTGTGCAGGGACACTGCCGCTCCTGATGGACGGTCCACAGCCCTCCCTCCACCCGCATCCTTAGGACAACGTCCACCTGAGTGAGCCCGGCGTGGGGGAGCCTGTGGGGAGGGCTCGTGAGGTCCCTCCGCAACCCCCCAGGGCCTGAGCACTGTCGAGGACCCCCCCAGCAGTGAGCCTGGCCACGGGCTGCTCACGGTGGACTCAGACAGACAGGAACTGCCCCAGGAGCGGGCCCTCAGGGCTTGAGGCGGCAGGCGGGGAAGGGCGTGGAAGCTGTTGGGAGGACTTGGCCTCCCAGGGCCAGCTGAGTGAGGCCAGCCCCTCTGGGGGCCCCTTGATCTCCTGGCTGGGGCATTAGCTGGGACCCCAGCTCCCGCAGGTCTTGCCCGGTGACCTGGGAGCCCCCCGTTCAGTCAGAATAGACACCCACGTGGAACTCGCTCTGCTCACCCCTTTGCTACTCAGTGCAGCCCAGGGGGTGACACTGACAAGACGCGGTGACCAGACACCATCCTGGGCAGCCCCCTGGCCGGCCCCACATCTCAGAGGCCAGCAGGTGTCCCGTGGCCCCAGTGGAGCGGTGCTCCGGGGGAGACCCCTGCTTCTCCCGACCTCCTTAGAGTCTTTTTTTTTCCAAAAAATACTAATTTCAGGGACTCCTGCCAGGCAACTTAATATTTGAGTAACTTCCTGGGACGTAATCTGATGTGTGATAGGGACCTTTCCACCCCAGCCGTCTGGATATCTATGGGAACCCCCATGCTTTGTAACCAAATCTCTCCTGTCAGGCCCGAGCTTTGTGGCCTGACTCGAGTGGCTCTCCTCTCCAAACGCAGCCCAGAGCACTCCGGCGGCCACCCTGTGCGACTCTGTGCCCGAGTGGGACAGGCTTCCCTGCGCCCCTCCCCCCACCACACCAGGCGACTGTCAGAGGCTGGGCTGCTGCTACAACTCCACGGGGGACTCCTGTTACTATGCCAACACAGGTGCGTGTGGCTTCTTTGAAACCAGCTGAGGAAAGTGCCCCTTACCTGCCACTGAACCTGGGGGAGGTTCGTCCCCCACCCTCCAACCCCAGAAGGCAGGTACTGAAAACGACCAGAGGCCGTGCCCCCTGCACCCTGGCCCTAGTGAGCAAGCTTTCTGCAGCTTCTGTTGTCTGAGCTCCTCAGAGTCTTAAGGTAGAGCCGTAACACTTAGCGGCCTCAGGAAGTCAAGTCCAGGTGCAGGATGGGCCTCCCACCGCAGTGGGGTCTGGATGAGCCTTTTTTCAGAGACTGCTTGCTGTCTCTCCCAAGTCACACTCTCGGGTGTTCTAAGGCCAATGACCCTCACTGACTGCACACTGGCCACTCTGTTCTCAGCTCTGAAAACACCCCATCGGCCACACAGAGCAGGCACCACTGCCCCCATTTGCAGATGAAGCTGCAGCCAGGAGGTTAAATACTTTTCCTGAGGTCCCACAGTATGTGATGCAGGCAAGAGGCACACCCAGGTGCTGACCCAGAGCCCTAATTAAGCTCCGGGCAGCTGAGCCGGCGTGGAGGTCCCAGCCAGGGATGTCCCAGCCAGGGATGTCCCCTTCTCTGGGGATGCTCAGACCAGCTAAGTCAGACTCCCGTCTAGCTACCCAGGGGCTAGTAGCAGGGCCCCTGCCTCCAGCCCTGTACCTCTGATGTTCCAGTGACCTCGCACTGCACCCAGGACGGCCACTTCTCCATCGCCGTGCCCCGGAACGTGACCTCGCCACCCCTGCTCTTGAACTCTGTGCACCTGGCCTTCGGGAACGACAGTGAGTGTAAACCCGTGACGGCCACACCAGCCTTCGCCCTGTTCCGGTTCCCGTTCACTTCCTGCGGCACCACAAGGCAGGTGAGGACCGCTGGCCTTTCGCGTTGCTCCTGACCCTGTCAGGCAGGTGGGAAGCGCCCTAGTGGCTGGGGGGAGGGCTGGATGAGGAGCCACGGGGATACGCCGGGCCCTGCTCCGGGTGTGGGACAGTCTCTATGATGGGAGGGGGCTCACCCCTGGGACCTCGGAGGCCGCCCTGGACATGGGGCCCAGCCCACGTCAGCTGTGCTCCACGGGGGCTGGCACGGACCCCGGGGGGAGGAGAACCAGAACAGACTCCTCTTACCACACTGCCTGGGCACCCAGCGGGGCCATGCCCCAGTGGGGCCCCATGGGAATATGCCCCGCCCCTCCCTGTCCTCTGTCCTCAAGCGAGGCCAGGTGGCCGTGTCCCAGGGTGGTGGAGGACACCGGCCCTGCCTCTGCAACAGGCAACGGGGGGCGGGGCAGTGTCGCTGAGCACTGGACCCGAGCAGGCCCCAAGGGGAGCGGCTTCGGGCCAGCAGCAGTGACGGGCCTTCTTGGTCGACCCCCACCCCCCAGATCGCTGGGGGCCAGGTGGTGTACGAGAACGAGCTGGTGGCGGCCAGGGATGTGCAAACGTGGAGCCTCGGCTCCATCACCCGCGACAGCACCTTCAGGTAAGGTCCCGGCTCACCTGCCCGGCCAGACGCACAGCAGCTCAGAGGCTGCCGCTGGACCCGCAGGACCCTTCCCCACGGGAGAGCCCACCTGGCGCCGGGCTGTGCGGCCGTGTGGCCTCACTGGCCGCGCTCACGAGGTCTGCTGGCCCCAGCCTGAGCTAAGCCCCAAGTTCAGCTGTGTTCTTCGCTCAGCGCACCTGTCTCATTCTGGCCTTTTCCCTTCCACCGCCCACAGTCCACGCTGTAGCAGAAAGGGTCCCTTTAAACTCCTGGGTCAGACAGCCTGCTTCCAGCTGCAGGAAGACAGGGAGAGCACTTTAAACTGGACACCATGTGTGACCCACGGGACCCTTCTCCAGCCTGACCCCCTTACGTGGTCTCCCCCCCACCGTCTCCCCACCCCACCGTCTCCCCCCCACCGTCTCCCCCCCACCGTCTCCCCCCCACCGTCTCCCCCCCACCGTCTCCCCCCCACCGTCTCCCCCCCACCGTCTCCCCCCCACCGTCTCCCCCCCACCGTCTCCCCCCCCGTCTCCCTCCCCCGTCTCCCTCCCCCCGTCTCCCTCCCCCCGTCTCCCTCCCCCCCCGTCTCCCTCCCCCCCGTCTCCCTCCCCCCGCCTCCCTCCCCCCGTCTCCCTCCCCCGCCTCCCTCCCCCCGTCTCCCTCCCCCCCGTCTCCCTCCCCCCGTCTCCCTCCCCCCCCGTCTCCCTCCCCCCCCGTCTCCCTCCCCCATGCATTGCCCTTCTGTCGTCTTTGAAGGACCTCAGACTCCACACGCTGCTCTGTCAGCTGTTGTCTCCCTCCTGTGCCTCCATCCTGGCACGTCATCTTCCCTCACGCCAAGTCCCCGTGAGACGGTCCCGACGGCCTTCTCTACCGAAAGCACCCGTTTCTCCACAGGCCCGTGTCCATTGTGGGTTTCCCAAGCCTTCCACCCTTCCCCACTGACCCCCTTCACCGTGCTTTCCCCCACTAAAATAGAGGCCCCCCCATGGCCAGGGACCGGGCCCATGGCATTCACAAACCTCCCCAACACCTGGCTCTCTGAGTGGCCCCCTGAGCAGCCCAGGGACGGGATGCAGCCCGCCCCCTGGAGCTGGCCAGCACCCGGTTCTCCGCAGGCTCCGGGTCAGCTGCACCTACGCTGTGAGCAGCTACACCCTCCCGCTTCACATCCACTTGCTGGTCTTCCCTGAGCTCTTGCCTCAGACCCAGCCTGGACCCCTGACGCTGGAACTTCAGATTGCCAAAGGTAAGACCCGCCTGGCCGTGAGCGTGCGGCCTGCAGTCCGAGTCCTGTCGCTCTTCTGGGCATGGAGGCCCTGCCTTGGTCATGAGACACTTGCTAGAGGAGTTAATGTGCGCGCTGGTCTGCCTCAGGCAACCCAGAGTGTCCTAGCTCTGTCCCCACCACTGCAGCTCACTTTGGCCCCTTGCAGATAAAAACTACAGCGCCTACTACGGCGCTGGTGACTACCCCGTGGTGAAGTTACTGCGGGAACCCATCTACGTGGAGGTCTCCCTCCGCCACAGAACTGACCCCGACCTCGGGCTGCTGCTGCATCAGTGCTGGGCCACGCCCAGCCCGGACCCCCTGCATCAGCCCCAGTGGCCCCTGCTGGAGAGGGGGTGAGTGCTCTTCCACACACCTGTGGCACAGCCCCTCGGGAAAGCCCCCCTGACTGGGGTGTCCCCACCAGATGCCCCTACACTGGAGACAACTACCAGACCCAGCTGATCCCTGTCCAGAATGCCTCGGGCCTGCCCTTCCCTTCCCACTACCAGCGCTTCAGCATCTTCACCTTCAGCTTCGTGGACCCAGGGGCCAGGCAGGCGCTCATGGGACCGGTATGACGCCCCCTTCCCTGCTCCTCAGCAGGGCTCGGACCCCTGCTCCCGCGTTCCCACGTCAGGCCACCCTCGGCTGAGACTGGTCTTTAATGCTGGCCATTGGTACTGCCTCAGAGCAACCTCGGTACAGGTGACATGAGGGACGTTTGCGGGTGTCACCCTGGTTCTCCGGTGCCACTGCGATACCGGCTTAGGCTACCGAGACTTTCTGACTTGCTTTTGATGTGCTCCCTGCCAGGGAGGTAAAGCGGTCCCAACCTCCCCTCCTGATGGGGCTACAGCGGGACCCCACTTCTCTTGGCTCCCAGGTGTATCTGCACTGCAGCGTGTCCATCTGCCAGTCCGCGGGGGCGCCAGCCTGTGTGACCTGTCCCGCTGCCAGGAGTGAGTACCTGAGCCGTCGGCACTCAGAGTCCCCAGAGCTAACCTTGCACACTGTGCAGATGACTCAGACCAGGGACCCAGCCTACTGATGAGGTTTCATGAACTGTTTTGAAGAGTAGAACAGAAACAGGGACTGGCTTCAGAGTCCCAAGCCTTTGAAATATAAGCTGAAAATCCTTGTGACTCTCAGCCTTAGCTTTCTCCCTATGAATTTTCATTAGGCCAGGAGTCAAACTGGTTCATGGCCTACATATGGCCCAATTAAAACCACGTTCTGTCTGGGCAGCTCACAGGTGTAAACTTCGCCACCTGCTTAAAGGAGGGCCTGACAGGTGGACGTGATTGAAGGCTTAGAACACGAGCTCTAGCTGGCCAGGCCCAACGATCCTACTGTGTGTCTGTGCACACGTGCATGCTTCCACCCAGTCTGCTAACACTTATGTGTCTAGCTCCTGCATTCATGAGCCCTGAAGCTTTAAGTCCCTGCTAGCAAAAAAAAAAAAAAAAAGCCCTTATAGTAATGATAGTTTTGAAAAAAATACTACATTAAACCCTGGCTATTGTGGCTCAGTGGACTGAGCCTGGCCTTGTGAACCAAAAGGTCTCAGGTTCAATTCCCAGTCAGAGCACATGCCTGAGTTGCAGGCCAGGTCCCCAGTAGGGGGCGTGCAAGAGGCAACCACACATTGATGTTTCTCTCCCTCTCTCCCTCCCCCTCTCTAAAAATAAATAAAATCTTAAAAATAGTACATTAAGTATCGAATATTTAACACCACCGCTGCATACAATCTATATTCTTCAGGGGAATTAAACTTAGGTTAACCTTTCCAAGGGCCAATAACTGGTGAAAGCCATTGGACTCAAACAGAGCTCTGCTGTCAACTCATTTCCAGTTTCCTGTCGTCACTGGAAAGGGTCCTGGTGTTAGCCTGCTAGTGTCTAAGTTCCACTTAAGAAAGAGTGGCATTCGGGGGTAGTCCAACATCATGACTTGGTCTGTACTCCCAAACTGGCGAAACTAAGGTAACAGCCAGACAAAACAAATTTGAGCAAGACAGACTTAAAATAGTAATATGAGGGCTGACACATGCATGTGAGTTTTCTGAAGGAACTGCATGCATTGAGGAACCTGGCCTTGCATTAGACTCTCCCTTCCTAATGCCCCACAACCCCACTTGCAAAAACGCGACACACCCCAAGCTCTCTTCTCTCCAACAGGAAGGAGAAACTCCGACATCCATTCCCACAACGGCACTGCCAGCATTTCCAGCAAGGGTCCCATGATTCTCCTCCAAGCCACTGAGGACGCTTCAGAAAAGTTTCGTGAATACTCGCGTGAGTAGAAGACCCGACCAGCTACCTGAACCACTCGTCAAACCAAAGCTCCTTCCTCACCCGCTTCCTCTCCCTTACTAGTCTGTGTGCATCTCCGAAAAGGGGACTAGCTAGTTGTTCTGATGGCTAGAGACAGCTGGTGGTGCTCAGGAGGCCGCTCACCACACCAACCTCTCTTCCTCACCAGGCTCTCCGGCAGACTCCCGAGCTCTGTGGGTGGCTGGCCTCTGCGGGACCTTAATTGTTGGAGTCTTGTTCGTGTCCTACCTGGCTATCAGGAAGCGGAGATGAGTCACTCAGATCAAATATGCTAATAAAACTAGAGTCCACTAGCAGCCTGTGCCCAGCTTCTCATTTGAAAGGCTGATTGCTTTAGATCAGCCCTTTACCTGTTGTCGGCATCTCGTCTCTTCAGCTTGGTGGTTACCCAAGAATAGAATAAAAACCATGACACCCTATTTTGCTTTTTTAAAAGATTTTATTTATTTTCAGAGAGGGAAGGGAGGGAGGGAGAAAGAGAGAAACATCAATGTGTGGTTGCTGGGGGTTATGGCCTGCAACCGAGGCATGTGCCCTGACTGGGAATTGAACCTGCAACACTCTATTTTTCTATTTCAACCTATCTTCTGATTATAACAACATTTTAGTAGAATTTCATAGTTGACGACTCAAACAGCATATACAAGAACTAGATAATCTCAGACTGAGCAGACTTTTATAAGCTCAAGAGATGTGCAGCAGGGAGGCGGGGTGGGAGGGACCATCTTCCACAAGATCAACCAAACTAAGGCAGTACCAGTCTAGAGCTCGTCCTGGATCCCCGACACCGCTGTCTCTCAAGTTTGATGTGTGTGGGACTCGAAGGAGGGCAGATGGAAACCGATGTCTGGCCTCGCCCCCAGAGTTTGATTAAGTGGGCCTGCGCTGAGACTTAAGAACCTGTATTTCTAACCATTTCTCAGGTGACACTGATCTTCCTGTTCCAAAGCCACACTTTGAAAACCAGTGTGTCCACCTCTGACTAAGAGGTGTTCGGTCTTGGATTGGTTAACCGGGGGTGGCTTGATCAGAGGCTTAGCTTTGAACCAGAACCAAGTAACTTCCTAGTTTAGCCATTTCTAAGACCAGTAGAAATACAGTGGGGTGGTCCTCATGGCACATGTTCTACCACAGACTGCCTGGTAACTACGGCTGTGGGTCAAGTTCTAGGGTAATCTCTATTTTTTTCACCCAAGAGCTCCGCCAGTCACCCTGGTAAGGTTTCCCCATTCATCCGCAAGGAGGAGCTTTTGCTCGCTTGACCATTCAGCAAAGTAAAGGTTGTTCATCTTGGCTTTTAGACAGCTGCTCTGCAGTCAAGCCCAACCACTTAGAACTGCTCAGCAGGGACTAAGTATTGGCTTCCTTGACCGGGACCCCGCCCGCTGCCTCGGGGACAGGAACTATCACAGAGACTTGAAACACTTGTGTCTCCTGAAAACCTAGTAAGGCGGGCACTCATCCCCAGCCTCCAGGGCCTGGGGCAGAGAGAGGTCAAATACCTTACCCTCTGAGACAAAGCAAGTGCATGCATCCTTCTAAACAAAGCTAATTGGATAAGCCAGCATCACTTGGTGTGATAATGGTGGAGCTGGACCACGAACTCTAACCCCAGAACTTGTGCTTCTGATTCCATGTTCTGAAGGTGCTCAGCTCTCCAGGGGGACCAGGTTCCAGTGGAATAGGTCCGGCTTGCCAGAGGTGTGGGAGCCCTGGCTAAGCTAGACATCTGGACACAGAGGGCCGTCACTACTGACTGCCTTCCACAGTGCTGAAAGCCAGACGTTGCAAAGGGGAAAGCAGTGGTTTTTAGTTGCAGTGGAGGTAGCGGTTAACTAGGTCATGTAGCAACTTCAGTGTACCATTAATTCACCTGAGCAATCTTGGACAATGTTTTAATATTTTAGATGTATTGTATTAAATACAATTTCATATAACTAACTTCAGATTTTTTTATACCTAGTGTGTATCAATGGCAAATCTCAATTTCCATGTTCAATAGTAACTAGGAATAGCACATTTTTAGGTTTTATAAGATTTGCAGTTCAAAAAACTCAAACCCAAATTATTCTTCAAACCCAAATTATTCCAAGTTTTTTAGTAGCTCAGCTGTATCTGTCTTAACATTGTTTTGTGCTTGCCACGTTTTAAATGTCTGTCGCTGCATCTGACTAGAAGTCGCTCCAGCGTGACTGAAGTCACTCAGTTCAAACACACGCTGGTTGTGGAATTTGACAAGCTTGATACTCTGTGCTGGGAGCAAACCCCAGGAAAGCTGTCCCAGGAGATCTATCAGGCCACAAGCTCCTGGCTTGCCCTCCAAACCAGGCAGGAGTGTGGGGTCCTCTAAATGGAACTGACTTGAAAAGCCAGGTCCCTTGGTTTCCCACAGACGAGGGCAGCCTGCCCCAGCAGCATGTGTGGCATTTAGGTGACTTACTCGGTGGCCCCGTGTCTATGTTTTCCCCCGTGGAGGGTGGTAACACCTACAAGAAATCTGGATCAAACTGAAGAAAAAATCCTAGTGCTTCAGCCTTGACCTAGGACCTGCTGGATTCTCTCTGGTGGGGCTCCTCGGGCTGATTAGATTCATGCCCTGTGAACTTCCAAGGGGACCTAGACTTATTTCCCAAACAGATTTGACCATGGAACCCTTTTCAGAGATTCTTATGGTAGCGACATTCTGTGGAACATGCTTCAGTAGATGGAATGAGTCTGGTTTCCAATCCTGGAATCCTTGTTGGAACTTGGCCTGCTCGAGTAGGAGAAGGGACCATTTCAGGGAGGAGTGGTAACAACGCACCTGTGAATCAAAGATCCCGGCCAGAGCTACCTGGTTGGGGTTGAACCCCTGCTCTGAAGTGAGATCTGGGTTGGGACCACTGACTTGAGTGGCTTATTGGTGTGCACATCCACTTACTAGGCTGGACACCTTGTTATCGCCAGAGGCCATGTACCTTCTTCAACCACACTCCTCCTTGGCATGTGTGTCATTTTAGCCCTTCTCTGATAGCTCCTTACACACGACCCACCCCGCTGCCCCAACTCTCCCCTCCCTTCACCGTATCCTCCTAACTTAGTGAAGCTGATTTCTGGTTAACAACTCTCTACCCTTCACCTGAAAGATTGTTTAAATCCAATGGGAATCACATAATTCATTCTTACAGGTGTTGGGGTTTCTGTGCATAAAATTGCTGATTTTTTAAAAGACTTTATATATTTTTAGAGAGTGGGCAAAGGGAGGGAGAAAAAGGGAGAGAAACATCAATGTGTGGTTGTCTCTTACACACCCCATCCTGGGGGCCTGGCCCGCAACCCAGGCAGGTCCCCTGGCTGGGAATCTAACTGGCAACCCTTTGGTTTGCAAGCCTGTGCCCAATCCACTGAGCTACACCAGCCAGGGCAATAAAATTGCTGATTTTATTTCTTTGTGTGCCTGCACTGATTTATCTTGTGTTCATGTGACAACATGGCCTCCTACTCTGCTTGGAGTGGAAGAACCCACTAGGCTTCCTGCTGGTGGCCTGAGGTTCCCCTTCAGCACCTTCCCTTTCTTGGGATGAACCCCTGGTCCCAGGTCCTGTCCCTTGAGTCCACACCCAGCTTGAGCAGCACATACTGTTCTCCATCACTTTGAGAAAAATGCATGTGGCTCACTTTGAGAACTTGCATGTCTGAGTATCCCTGACCCCACTCACCCAGGTCCCAAACTAGAGACGAGGGGAGCCTGCCCTCTGTCGAAGGTACTGCTCTATTGACCAAGGCATTCAGTGTTACAGTTTGTCATTTGACTTCTGGTCCTCTGTCAAGTGTCCTGTCCATGGATGTTTTGTATGCTTTGACTTAGAATATTCTCTGTCACCATTCTAAGTATTGTCAGGATTTTTCACTGGTATCTGAGTGATGGGGGGAAAATCTAGGGGTCTATGGCTTTCAACTTGAGGAAAAGTTCTTATTTGATTTACTTTTCCACCTTGCTTTCTGGAATTCTTCTTTGGCTATTAAATGACCTAGTTAATGCTTTTATTTTCACCTTTGTATAGCTTTGGGTTTCTACTTCTTCAAAGTCTTGTTTTTTTAAAAATATTTCAATGGTAAATTTAAATCCTGTTCTTTTTATATACTGTTACTTAGATGCACAGAAGGATGAGAATAACAAGAGTTTTCACTTCCTTATGGGGTTGATGTATGAGATGCACGAGATGATATACACGAAGTGAAACACAATGAGAGGAACGTGTGGACCTGCCCCCAGCCTAAAAGCATCGCCAAAATAAGCTTCTCGGGAGCTCTTTGCTGATCCCATCCCCTAACTAATTTCCAGGTGAAATGATCTTAAGTTGCCTCTTTACTTCCTTGAGCTTTCTTTGGTTTCAGCACATGACTGAGACTTACAGAAATATTGTATGGCTTCTCATTCAAATACAAATCTTGCTTGGCCTGCATTTTCCTCTCAGACCTTTTTCTTTATTGTTAGTATTCTTCAAATATCACTCTTGTCCCTTCACAAGAGAGGGTAAAAAAGCCACTTGAGAAGGAAGCCACTTATGAAGAAAGCTCTGTGTGGATGTGGAATTCATCAGCTCTAATTTTCTACTGCAAATGATCAATGCTCTTATTTCTTCCCCATTTCAATGGAGCTACTTGTTCAAAGTAACATGGGGAGAGTATTTTCCTAATGCTAAATTCCGTCTTCTAAGGGGACAAAACAGCCCTCGGTTCCAAGCATCTCTGGCCCTAGGTCAGCCCACCCACTGCCAGGATGAAAGGGTGAATCTCCTGGTTATCTGACAAAGGGATCAGGTGTTTCACAGCTTCTGAGGATTGTTTTACTTTCTGATTGAGTCACCATATATACCGATGTTGTATACACTTGCTGAATATTTACATATGTAAGTATCTGTCTAACCACCACCTTGACCAAAGTTGGGACACATGAGCAGCCTCAGAACCCCAGTCAGCAACTCCAAGAGGCAAGGCCCATCCTGAGTTCTGAAATCATAGATTAGATTCACTTGTTCTTGAATATCTTAAACGGAATAAACCGTACTCTACTGTGCTTGGACTCTTTGATCTAGTGTCTGAGACTTGTTTCTATTGCATGTGTCAGCAGTTCGTTCTTTTATGTTCTAAGCTACAGCAAAATATTAGTTTATCAGTTATCATAGTGATGGGCATTTGAGTTGTTTCCAGTTTAGGGTTATTAGTAATAAAGATGCTGCAAATACTGGTAGCCTGCCTCCTTGCTAGTA